CCAGTGGCCGAACCGCAGCTGTAGCCGCGCGTCACCGCGGTCGCTGTTCTTCATAACCGTCGTGTCTCGCTGATATAGATGTCTCACGGTCAGTCTGGCCGTAGGTTTATTGTAACGGATCATGGCTGAAGGACCTGATGTTATTTTTTCTAATCTTTATGCAAGAATTTCGTGAAAAAATTTCCTTCGCATACCATAACATGACATAATCATTGATTCTATCTTGAAAGTGGGTTTGAAATATCCGCATCAATAATAATTAGTTATATTTGCGAATTAGGAAAATGATTCACATATCTCGAAGATTATCCATCCCTAGCCCTCCCATCCCATGATGGGAAATGATATAATATAAACACCCTGCAGATGGGCCATTGATGATACTCTCCTAGATAGGACAATAAAAACACTGGCCTGGAAATTACAGAATTTATTACCATCTAGATTGAACATTTAAAAGAATGTTCTAGATAGAACATAAAACACACTCCTCAAGATGGGGCAAACGCTGCACTCCTCTAGATGAGGCATGAACAGCACTCCTCTAGATGGGGCATGAACAGCACTCCTCTAGATGGGGCATGAACAGCACTCCTCCAGATGAGGCATGAACAGCACTCCTCTAGATGGGGCATGAACAGCACTCCTCCAGATGGGGCATGAACAGCACTCCTCTAGATGGGGCATGAACAGCACTCCTCTAGATGTGGCATGAACAGCACTCCTCCAGATGGGGCATGAACAGCACTCCTCTAGATGGGGCATGAACAGCACTCCTCCAGATGGGGCATGAACAGCACTCCTCTAGATGGGGTCTGACTCACAGATCACCCGGCGCACATGACTGCACCACGCGCTGCTGAAGCGGTACATCCCCGCGCAATTCAACTCCAGGCAGTTTTGCTCGCCAGGATTGTCGGGTTCTTTCCCCAAAACGTCAGTCTGCTCATGAATAAAGCAAACATCTTCAATGTTTTTGTTACATCAATGTAAGAATCAACCTGGATGATTATTACAACAATTATCCAGGGTGTTGATTGTTACATCATTTGCATCAGAAATGCAAATATATATTGTTTAAATTACAGTATTTCCAGAAATATTACATGATCCTGGATTCTTCAAAGTTTCGTATTACCAAAATGACTTTATTCCACCCCAAGTTTTAATTTATTACGTATACCGTATCTTTGAATACTTTTCTAACTGAACTCTTTCAAAATTCGGCACTGTTATATGTTTGCGATAATGCCGTTATATACATAGCTCCAGAAATTTTAGTTAAAAACTTTTATTCAATTTACCTTAATGATCTAATTTAAAAACTGATCTGACTGGAGACCCAATCCACAGTAAAAAGAATGTTTCTATAGTCAATTGATTCCAGGTATTAATTGATTTCAGATATCTGCATTCGAGGAAAGTAACTTTTGATTGAAAGTTTATACATGTATAAAAATATAAGTGTCTAGGTCTAAAATTAGTGAATTGAGCGAATCAAATCATGCAGTAACTAACCATATAATACCTTCTTCCCACTGTAAATGATATAAAAAAAGATACCGGAAAGATTTTTCGTAAAACAAACTGGTATTTATAAATTAACTTTGGATTGTAGCTGCTTGTACAAGCCAATGAAATTCGTGAAATCTTGTCCATGGAGAACAGCAAATTATGTTTGCAGTTAATTCTGGAATGCAAGATGAACGTCTTCAATTTGCATATAAACCTAGCTGAGAGCTGAATTTAATGGCCAAAAGTACGCAAGGTAAACTATTTGACAATACCACTATCCTGTAATGATTACATCATCGGCATCTAGCTGAGTTTGCTGTTTAGTTTTATTCGTACACTTCTTTTAAATATTCAGTCAGTATCCTTACAGTTGCCCAGTAAGGCAGTCGCATGGTCATCGGCGAACCGTCAACCCAGCGCCATTGTCCTTCCACGGCCTCATCTGAGCCCCCGATCCAAAAGGTAGGGTAGTCTTACCAAGAAAAGAGATAACAATTCTAGGGGATAGGAAATTAAGTTTCTAAATATTATTCTGTATAAAACCGCTGCCGTTTCCCTGACACTCACGATATAAATGTCACTAAAATGAGAAAGGGAAGTTCTCCAGAGTTAACCACTTTCTGAAGGCGTTAGGATGGTGGGGGCAAATAGAAATTAATCATTGACTCCATTTTGACGTAAAGTATGCAGATCTACATCACTCGCGTATTAAACCTCAACTTCACAGCTCTGGTCATAGTTATCTAGTTATCTTAATTAAATTTAACAATACCAACATCATTAGGGTTTGATTGGCAGTGTTTATTTTGAAATATTACATAGAACTTTTCAAACGGTTACCTTGTTCAGCGAGGTAGAGGGCAACCTTGTGGTACTGATCGCAGTCGTCTACAACAATCAGGCCCCCACCGACCAGTCCACACTGGTTACGAGCGTCGTGCCAGGTGTAGTTGGTCGTAATTAAGTGAACACACTGAGTGCCAACCAAAACAAAAGGATTCTGGCAGAGACCTGCAGTAGAATACATATCCATGATGTAAATGTGGAATGAATGAAAGATATTAGATTATTCATTCCTAGAAGCTGGATATCAGCTCAGGAAGTCATTGCATGAAAGATTAGCTATGCTTTCCTTAGGGTCCTGCCATTCGTGCGTTTAAACTGACTCTATCAAGTTTATTTCAAGACCCTAAATCCTGTTTAACTGGAATATTCGCCATTTCAAACTTTACGCTAGTACCGGAACTATAGATATTGCCATGCAACTTTGAACGTAAGCGTTTTATGTAAAACAAGCAATGTTCATGGAACCCTCAGGTACAAGCTGTGCCGGATGTCAGTAAATATTTATTAATGAAACAGTCAAGTTCAATATGTGCCATGTCGCAATAACATCAGAATGAAATCAAGCAAGATAAAACGATAAAAATTCAGAAGTAAACACGTAGACTGCACAGAGATTTCATCATCACCTAATATTTTTTATTGAGCTGGATAGATGTAAGTTTTTCAACTCTCCTTCGTTATGGTTTCTTTCCCTTCTTCTTTTTGTTAATCGTAAAGCAACTATTGGATTGTTTCACTTTTGAGCCGTAAATTTTTCTAAGATATCAATTTAATCTTGAGAGCTAACTCCTGAAAATTAAAGTCAAGTCAAAGTTACGTACATACTCATAATAATTTTATACTCAATTCTGCGGCTTGCTCGTAAAGTTATTTTGAGTGGATTAATTTGGCAGTGCATGCATAAAATAATCAAAATCTTAGAAAAATTCCTCCACAAATTATATACTCTCTGCACTTTTCTGTCCAGCTTACCTTCCAAGGCTTCAAAACAGAAGAGTAACTCACCATATACTGAAGGTCTTGAGCACAGTGGATATAGAAAAGAGGCTGTGCATACGTAGTCTCGGAATAACCAGCCCGAGGAACCTTGTACCAAAGCACAGTTCTGACTCGTTCCACCCGAAGGTTCGGTTATCAAATTATCTCCACCAATCCTGAGGAACATATCTAATTAGAGGGAGCTGTTGAAAGTTTTTCGATCAATTATAATCACATGAAGCACTCAATGCAATAAGTTGGTCAGCTGTAATATCTCTAGCGCTAACTACTGAATGTCATCACTCAATAAAGATTCCATACTAGCCAAATAATAATTAAAGGTGGTGCACCTATGGTTACACAGGTAGGCATGGTACATTATATGTGGTGAAACGATCCTTGCTACTCCTTGGTTGTAAAATGTGGTTCGGTTAGATTGCTAGTCAAAAACTCTGTTATTTTCGTAAAATATATCCTTTTTACGCTGAAAGATACAATTCAGTTCTCTACGGACTGACATTGATATGGTAATTTATCCACTTATGAGAAATTTGTTCACCTCGTCACATAATTATTTTGAATAAAAGTTTACATATATAATAATGTGGTCTCGCATCATTCCTACGTGACAGATTATCCATATATTAGGGTAGAGAAAAAACACCGGCGCGGATAGTTGAAAGAATTTCGCCCCTGACATTTCAAAGTCGAGTGATGTCAATTCCATGCTCTAAACATTCCTTATTTTCCACAAAAATATTTTCGTCGAAAATCTTTCTAAACTTTCCTTTAACAAAAAATGATATACGTTTTAAATAAATAAACTTCAATATATAATTAACGAAATTTCTTTCAGCTGCCATTTTATGGTACATAAAAATGTGTTCGAGTAAACAGTGGTTATTGGAACCATCAAGTCAGCATAGTAGTGGCATTTATTAAAAATAATTGATGAAATTAAAAATTGCAATACAGGCAGGCAGGGACTTTACTTCAAGTCGATTTCTCACGAGTTTTGTACATGGCACTGTGGTTATTTGTTCCTGCTACATTTCCGACATTGTTGCTTGNTTATTGATGAAAGAAGGGTTTTTTAAGTTAAGGTTGCCATCAGCAGGATATAGGTGGAACATAGGCAGGACACGCCATCTATGTGCCATCGGTGTTCACCTATAATTTCCACCAATAGCCACCAATAATCATCGATACTCTACCAATAATTTTATTTGGGTAGGTCGAATCAAAAGAATAACTATTTGTCAACTAAATTTTCATGCAATAGAGACTGCAAATCAATGTTATTTCTAACATGAGAACTAAGATTGACTTTTTGTAGGAGACACTCAGAACTTCACCTTCTGTTTTCAGTTAATTCTCTAAGTAATTTCACCTTAACATTATAATACTGTTTGTCACATTATATTGTTCAATCTTATTGCATCAAGTGACTTAGTTGAGTTTCATCCGTTTACAATTTCATAATAAATATACTTCCTTTTAGCAAATATGTTGTGTCATGTACAGAAAAAACATGGATTCACTCACCACGGCCCAGTACGTACGGAGCGCCCATTTGCACGGCCGCTCCGTCACTCCACTGCCAAACATTGGTGAGCGTTCCATTGGTCGCGCCTAGCCAGTAGCCGTTGTTGAAATCAGTTGAGTCTGATGGAGTGCAACGTTAATAGTAATAGAAATATTATTATGTAATAATAATATTATTTAATATGGAGTTTTTAGCGTTGATTAGAACCTGTTAGCCTGTCGCCGGCCGATTCTTAACTACCTGGCCACCTCCTCGAGTTGCTCAGCGGTTGCACCCCTACATAGTTAAAATTTAGATCCGCCTCAGCTTCTGATTCCTCGAATCAGAAGCTGACTTGCCTCTGAGCCTCTGAATTTGGTTAGGGTAGCAGCTGCTCGGTCACCCCAAGGCGAGTGGTACGGAGACATGACATTTTTGGCAATCGCAAAAAAGCTGTGTGTTGTGTACAGGGCCAAGTGTGAATGAATAAGTATTGCAGTAGAACATAAGTGAAGATTCAAATTCTTCCGCCAGCGGCTAACAGGGCCTGCCAACTTACCAAGTTTTCAAAAATCGGCGAAGAGGCATGCAAAGCGTTTGTCTATTGATAATAGAGTCATAATGATATTGCAAGAAAATTAATCAGAAGTCCTATTATAGATGAATTATGTTCGCTGAAATTCAGGTTCCACTAAACATCAAGTTGATGCATAGGAAGAGACTTTTTTGCCAAAATGAGACTTCTAACTTATGAGGGTCGACTTATAATGTTTCTAAGAAGACAAACATGTTGAACGCAGAATTTTTAAACTCTGCAAGTTTTCCGACTTTAACATGTTTTTCTGTTATAACCTTACATCCATCATTGACATAAGTGGTGACATCAGTGAAGGAAGCGCAGTCTTTAAGCACAGGCAGCCTGCCGAAGTGCTGGTAGCAGTAAGTGACCGCGTTGTCGTACGTCAGATATCCGCCCGTGTAACGGTGGATGCACTTGGACCCGACGACCTCATAGCCTTCAGGGCAGTCGGCTGCGACAGCGCCTGCCAAATGAGGATTCGAATTTGATAATACAATCAATTTGTCATCCGTAAATTATGCGAAAACGTTAACGATAGGAGCAAAGGACGACCAATGAAGGCTTAAGGGTCATTCCATACCAAGTGAACCAAGAGTACCAACCTGACCATTTTGATGAGGATCACACATATTACTTTAGTTGATTTATCAACCAGAATAGCCCAAAATTTCAGCTGAAAATATAAAACTTTTTGAAATTATGGGCCCTCAAAGGAGGGGTGGTGAAAATGTCCCCGATGGCGCGGCGTAAAATCTCCAACTTCAGGTCACTGCTGTGCTAGCCACTGGTTGGGAAATTAATGTGTCTGTAGAACTCAAGAGGGTGCTTCTAAAAAATTGTTTCAACAGTTTATTGTTAATATTTTTCATCTATAATAAGGTCAAGCTTGCTTGGAAATCAAAAGAGCAGGAACAATTCACAAGTTCAGTGCCCTGTATATCATAGGAAAATTAATAAATCTCCATGACACCTGTACAGTCTATTGCCAACATACGTAACATTGTATACATAAAATATTGACTAAGAATTCACTTAGGTTCTTTAGTGAATTCCATCCTAAATTGCTAATGAAAGCCTCAGGGCCATTTTTCGACAATGTTTGAATAGTTGCAGGATAGCAATTTTGTTGAAACAGCATTTTTTACAAAGAGAAAATTCTGTACTTTAGCATACGCTGATTCTATAATGGGTAATAATAAATAATAATAATAAGTATTTCTAACTATCGGTTATAATTGTATTAAAATTCATTCTTCATCATTCCTGTAGACTATGTTGCTGCCTTTGGCAGCTTTTCACTTTTGACACGTGCTTATTCACCTGGATGAAATAAACGACTCAGCCCTGCATTACATTAAATGAAAATAAGCAGTAATAAATTTGGAAATTTACAACAAACAATGAGGTAGGAAAACAAATGATTTGACTTTCAAAAAATAGAGGAAGCCTCTTGAAAAAAGTGTGCTGTTCCAAAATTGAAAAAAGTAGAGAGCGAAAAATAGCAGCAAATTCATGTACGTTTTGCCACTAGCTAGCTAAGCTGTCACATGCATGGGTATCTAAACATAGTATTTTACTGCCTTTTGCAATGTAAAATCTAATTCGAAAGAATTTCTCGTTATTCCTATGAGGTGCAATAATGAGGCAAATGCTGCATTTTTAACTAAGTTTTCTTCCTTTGCAAGAAGAACATCATGGCTATGATTTACATATATGTTATAGTACAAAATTTTATATTTCTAACAAAACTGTTTCAACCAAATTAGTTTAGTAGAACTTACTAAGTTTGTGTTTAAAAACACAGTTAAGGGGACCATTTCGGTCCCGAAAATCTTTTACATTTATCAACCAATCTTTCTGAAATTTCACACACATACGTAAATGTAAAATAAAAAATAATTTGCGTCCGGTTATAGGGAGCGCAGCCCTACACCACAAATTTAGCTCGTAAACAAGCCCTGGCGCCAACGCCTACCCTATAATGCAATAACTAAACTCAGCTCACACCCAAGAAGCTGTAGGTAACTGAGTCATCTCCCCACACCAACTTTAAGCAACACCTACCTCACTCCACAGCCTGCTGAATCAAATAGTCAATTGTCAACAGGTCCTACTCCACAGAATTTTACCCCATACTATCACTTCTTACACACGCCGTAAGCCTTACTGGTCGCAGGCCACGCCGGATCACCGTAAACCTGCTCTGCTATTTGCAGGACTGAAGTAATCCCGCCGCACTCCACGGGCAGAAGCGCAAACCGCCGTCCCTACAACGCCATGCCCCGGCTCTCCCCCTTCGCAGCCATAAGGCTTTCTTCAATTGCTGATCAGTTGTGCGCCAGGTTAGGTTAGGTTTGGTTAGGTTAGGTTAGGTCCCAACATCGCACCAGGCGCATTACTGATCGGGCAACGAGAAAAGCCTTCTGCTGGCTGCGAAGGGGGGAGAGCCGGGGCAAGGCTTTATAGGGACGGCGGTTTGCGCTTTAGCCTGTGGAGTAGAGCGCCATGAAGCAGTGGCTGTGACGTAACGGCGCTGTTATGTCGGGCGCTTATTTTCAAAAGCCGCGAATATGCCAGGCTGTGTTTAATACAAGCACGCAACAGTTTGGCTATTTGCCCACGGCTGTTGCTTCGGTGGCTTGATGTTATTTGGCTGATTGATTCATATCCAGGAAAGGATATGACACCTATGGCTTTAGGCACTTAATCACACAGGCTAATATGCCCTCTAGCGTGATTACGAGCGGAAAGGAATAGATATTGAATTGTGGGGAAGGGCTATGTAGGGGTCTATACTGCGTCCCCGGTTATATACTCTGCAATTAGTTTGTACCTAAAAACCGGACGCGAAAATAAATGAACCACAATACCGGACATCGAAAAAACGCCAACCTCGTTAGGTTAGGGTTAGAGTTAAGGTTAGGTGTGTCTAAAACTCTTCTTTAGGTTGCTAGAGACCTTCCTACTGGGGTTAAGTCCTGCCAGGTCAAGTTTTTAGACCTTTATTCGCCATTTAGAGAAAAATAATTAAAGACAGGACTTATACATATATAAAATATATAAAATATTCATTTCATATATGTTTAAATTTGCATTACGCAAAAATTATTGCTTGCACATCCATGGTAGTAGCTTTGTTGAATGCGTCTTGTTTGTAGCTTTCAAACGAGTGTAAACACTTGTCAATTAACGCAAACAGTGATCTATAAATACAATTTTTCAAATTAAAATTTGTACATATTGGTAGAAATAGTCATTTTATGAAAGTTCAAAACTACCTTACGCAAAAATTATCGCATGTATATCAATGATAGTAGCTTTGTTGAACGCGTCTTGTTTGTAGCTTTCAAACGAGTGCAAACACTTTGCAATTAACAGGAATAGTGATCTTTAAATAAAGATTTAATTTAAATAAATCTTTGTACATATTCAAAATAATGTTCATTTTATATATTTTTGGAATAGCTTTCCGCAAAAACTAGACGACGCACAGGCATGTGGTTTGCTGCGTTAGACGCGCCTTTCCAGCAGCTATAAAATGAGCCAAGAAAACGGAGAAGCCGAAATATCCGATTTTTGACCGAAATTGTCCCCTTAAACGAGTCGAAAAATGGCTCCGACGCTTCTACTAGCAATTTTAGATGATTATTACTGGAAAATCAGAGTGAATTATCGTTCTTATATTGTGTATACAATGTTAAGTATGTTGGCAATAGACTGTACAGTTATCATGGAGATTTATACATTTTCATGTGATTTACAGGGCACTATACTTATTAATTTTTTCTGCACTTTTGACTTTCGGGCAAGTTTGACCTTATTCTACCTAAAAATATCAACAATAAACTATTGAGAACATATTTTTAGAAGCATCTCTTCAAATCCTGCAGCCACCTCACTCGAGGCCAGCACTGACATGCCACAGCAGTGACCTGAAGTTGGAGATTTGGCGCCGAGCGATCATATCAAGTTTTACATATTTGGAGCTGAAGTTTTTTCAGATTTGGCTTGAAAAAGGATCCAATTAATGTGTAAAACTTCATCAAAATGTCACACCTATCAAAATATCATGATAGTCAGGTGTGACAGATTTTCAATCAAAATTGTGCACTTTACATTGAATGACCCTTTACTAATTTGATAAAAATAATAAAATATTGCGAAAAATTTTGTTAAATCAGAAAAGTTGTTGAATGATTGTTCCTGATTTAATTAACTTTATGATTTGATAATTATTTCGCTGGCAATTGATTACACTCTTATTAATAATAATAAGCAGGCACTAACATAAGCTGGAACTACTTAGCAAAAGCTGACAGTTCTGCACCTAATGATTGTTCTAATTCCCGTGCAGAAGACACTAACCGATGATGAGCAGTAGCAAGAAGATGATCGTCGACGGAAACATCCGGCTGGTCCTAGGGTTGTATAGCTCTAAAACAAACCTTTTTGTAAATTTAAATACAAACGAAAGTCAACAAGTTTGTCAAGCCTTTTGAAGGAGAAGTATGTTCAGTAGAAATTCCATCAAGTATGCAGCGCGTTGCTCTAATAAGTTACCTTATTTATAGCGTGCACAGCAGGCGGGTGTTTCTCACAGATTCACTGATTACACGACAAGGTCAGGTATATTCTCATGGCAACAGCTATTCTAGGCGAGTGTTGTGAACGCAACATGTGCAT